CCCTCTCAGGCTGAGCCCCCACAATCACTTTTAACCCTCCTTACCACCCTAAGCAGAGGCAACTCTGCACTGTCACACAAAATTAAACTTTCTCTTTATTCTCCAGTCTAATCTCTGTCTCCACAATATGACCCTGAGGTTTAATCTGATTATGATCCTTCATATCCCACTCTAACAAATGGCCCCAGCTGCCAAGCTAAGCAGTTTAATGAGATACTGTGTCGGTTATCAAACAAAAGGCAGAAGAGACACTGCAGACAAAGGCATTGCTTGCTCAGTCCCATCCCCAGGATCAAGGGCATAGGCTACAAGGAAACACTCCTGCAACTCATGTCGTGTCTCTTCTGTAAGAGGAGAAGACCTGCCCTTCTGCAAGAGCTTTGATGGAGAGCTGTGCTCTATCAGGCAGGGTGGCAGATGCTCCGTGACTGGCACCTGTGAGATGTGACCACAATGTTGTCTGGCCATGAGGGTCTGAATACAAGATAGAGAAAATACAGTTTGTCTTTGGTCAGATGTTATTACATCTGATCCAAACATAAAAGCCCAAGATGTATCACATAGCAAATCAATATTGTTTTCTAATCCAAATGCAATCAGATGCTTTTTTCCTTCCTGCCTAGATAAGACCCACCCTTCCCCCTCAGAACTGCAGCCAAAACATAATTCCCTCTCAGTGGCTAACGGCATTCATAAATTATGCTCAAGATCCATTATTTATTTAATCCTTTTTGCTGCCATTGGCTCTGGTCACTGATCTGTTGCCTCTCCAGTCTATGGCATTTTAATGACACAGCTAGAAAACAGCCAAACTCTTCAGCTTAGTAGTAAAAACTGGATATGTGCTACAAAGAGGAATGGTGTCTACCACTAACTCAAGGGGAAGAAGTGTGGGAGAATTACAGGCCAGAGCTGGTTGTTGCCTGGGGAAGGCAGCGAGGAACAGGCTAGAGCAGACTCTGATTCTGGCCTAAGCTCAGGTCTTATGGAGATGATGAAGCTGTTGGCCCTGCCTTGGGAATGTGGTTCACTTCCAAGACAACCAGAACATAGCAAGTCTTTCAACCAGCCTAACCTGGTTTGCCAAGGAAATAATTGATGACAGTCGCTCTTCCTTTGAAGTTGCAGTTGTTTTTTAAGTTGTTTAACTTGACCTCTGTGTGTCCTTTCCTCTTCAGTACAGGGGATATACTACATGGATTAGTATTATCAATGTGACGTGCCATTACTGGAGATACTAATGAGACTCCATCTGGAAGGCTGCAAACCAGCCTGTTTATCTGTGCAGAGATGAATTACATTCAGTGTAGAGCAAGACTGGAACAGAGGTTTTATCACAGAGAAAAAGACCACAGAGTCTGGCACATCTAGTCATGCTCAGCTGAAGGCAAGGGAGCTTATGATTATCCTTGTGATGGTTGCACGGAGAGCAAACCCCATGGAGGATGAGTAGCAGCTTGATCTGTACTGGTACAAACCAGACTGCACTGGCTGTGGACACATCTAGGCTGAAAGTTCAAAGAAAGCTCCTAATGATCTGTGTGGGTCTGAAATAATCTGCCTGCCTCGGGAGCCACGGGCAAAGTATCTGCCTACCTTTGAAACTGCTCTTGGTTCATCTGGGGGAAAGGACCAGGAAGAGCAGCAGATGGATTGGGTGGCTGATGACATTTCGCCCAGTCCTCACCCTTTTAAAATGGGATCCCAGAAATTCAACACTGATGTTCATTTCCTTAGTAATTTTTACCATGGATTTAAAAAAATGTCCTCTGAGCTGCATTTTTGTTTTGGTTCACTACTAGCTTGAAACCGGACATTTTTAAGCTCTCTTGAATGAAACCAAATTTTTTCCCTGGAATGCATTAGCTAGCCTCCTGGAGTTGCAGTGCATGCAGCCCTGCTCTTCAGGTCTCCCAGCTGCGTTGGTGACAATACTGTCACCATAAGGGGCTGTGGCCTGCCCCCTGCTCTGGGATGTGCTGCAGGAGCAGATGGGTGTAAGGCTGCCTGCAGTTGCAGCAGAAGAGGTTTGGCTGTTCAAGTTGCTGGATAAAAAATGGCACCTATCTTCTCCAAGGCAACAGGAAAAGTGTGCTGGGCCAGATGCAACTGAGCCATGGCTTGGGATCAGGCTCTGGACCACCCTGAATGTAAAGGGTGCCCTCCCAGGCTGAAGCAGGCTCAGTTCATGCTTCTCGGAGCTGCTGGTCTGCATTGCTGCCTGATTCCAAGAGTGGCTTTTCTAAGAATGGAAACAAAAAGATATTAAGATTTTTAGTCCAGAAATCTTTAAGTGGCACAAGCCATAGTTGTGCAGCTGGTAATTACCACCACCCAGGGGAGCCTAGGAAGATGCCATTCTTTTTTCTAATTACTATAAAGCCTTTCAATTTGATTAATTCTTTCCTTAATGCATTTCTTTGTAATTTCTTTTTGTGAAGATGCTAATGGTAAATTAGACAATCTTTCCTGTGAAAAATACACTCTGTACTCTCCGTAAGCTTGGTCTCTGGTGGCATCTGTGCATTCTTCATCACCCATCCAGGAGATGCTTTCAAAGCCAGGTGCTGATCCTGTCCTTTCTTTCAGTTCAAAGATGCTGCTTGAAGCAGAACTGACAAGTACCTGTAATATGATGAAAGTGTTGTCCATTTCTGTGTGCTAAAATGGTTTGGGTCAGAACAGATTAAAAACACATTTGTTACCTGGAGCTGTTTAATTTCCTTTGAAATTGTGCATATTCCAGCCAGAGAAGTCAGACACCAAGGAGGACAAGGGCACCACAGCCTCCTACAGTAATGGCACAGGTTGGCCTGATAGGGTGACTGGGATCTCTTACCATGATTTGAGCACTGGCAGCTGTGTCACTATCTCACATGACATTGCAAGGCCCTCAGACGAGTGTGATATAACAATAAAAAATATGTTTCTCCTCAAAACCAGTAATCCTATCATTGGTAAACAGAAAAATATTTAGTGTGAAGGCAGAATTATCCTGCCTATCATCATCCATGTCCCAGCTTTGCTCAGAGAGGCCAGGCTGTTCCCACTGGGAACATAGCTTGCAAGGTGATCTAACTTCCTTGCTGGGCACCATTTCAAACTAAAGATGCAGTGTAAGTGATGGTGAGTAGATGGTCTGTAATGGCCTCCATGTACACCTGGGTCCCATGAATTAAAAGAGAGTTGATGTGCACTGAAAAATAACCATTCCCACCAGGGCAAAAAACTTTTTCTGAGAATTTTTTTTTTTTTCTGGAGGGAGACAACAAGAGGGAGGCAGAGGAGCCTAAGGGGTAGGCACACATGAGAGTCATGGCCTAGCCCCATGAAGAGAGGGCAGGACCTTAATGGAGCAGGGCAGTGGCTATTCTTGAAAGTTCCCTCCTTCCCAGAACCCTGCCTGTACTTTGCTTATTGGTGCTTTCCCAATCGAAGGCTGTTGGGAATTACTGCAAGACTATCAGAAACAATAAATCCATATTCTGGCTCTTAGAGTGGCTTCCAGAATTTAAAGACTTTTTACTCAGGTCTTGCTATTTATTAGAAAGCTCCCCCATGGTCTCTTCTCTCCTTTTTGGCAACAGAATTCAGCATTAAATGAATTGAGCTCATTTGTCTCAGCTCGATGATAATAACAAGATGCTGATTTTAAGAGCAAGATGCTGGATCGGTGTTTGTGTTTCAGAGAGACATTGCCCTCTAGTGACTAGAAGGCAAGCTGTGTAAAAAGACAAAACATCATAAGTTTTGTACAGTTTTGTATGTCAGAGCAACTCATTCAATTGAAATTTGTGACAGACAGAGCTATGCTGACTGTGGAAAGAGCTGAGAATGCAGCAAAAACTCATGAAAGCAAGGAAAAAGAGAGGGAGAGAAAATGGTCATCACATTCCTTCTGAACAAAGAATTTTTGATTAAACTTACTTCAAGAAAGTCTGTATTTGTCCAGATGCTCACTTTTAAAAGAGAAAAATTATAAATATGATACATAAAACTTATTCTGTAGCCAAAACACAATGTGGTATCTCTTTTTGGAAGAAAATCTTGGGGTGAGGCCATGATTTTGCAGTCAGGCTTCGTGAATAAGTGAAAAGCTATTAGCAGAAAGTTTACTGTGGTAAGAAATGTGATAAATATATTTGGCAAGTTTGGTTATTTTTAGTAAGAGACCTCCTGCACAACTCCCACAACCACAAAAAACTAAAACTGCCTCACAACAGAACCCCACACCCCCAAGCAGACCTGCACAAGATGATGTAAGATAGTATCTCAAAGATGTCTCTGAGAGGAATTAATTATTGCATTCAACTGCTTCCACGAACACATTAGTCCTTTCCTCAAAGCCTGTTCCCTTTGCCAGGGGTGAGCTGTGTCACATCTTGCTGTTCTGGAGAAAAAGCTGTAGGACTATTCCTGTGTGTCTTTGTGGTCAGTAGTAATGTACCTTCCACTTAAACATGGTGACAAGAATACTTTCTGCAGCAGCATATGCTACCTGATGCATTTGCTCGTGTAAACAAGAAGAAAACAGAGCAAAAACTGATCAGACTTGAATCAAAGCAGTATTGTGCTTATTTTCTGGCTTTGCTGACTCATTCCTGGCTGTAAGAGGCTGCCACCCTGGCAGAGCAGTGGAACACTCCATGTCACGGCTGTGCAGCACACGGTGCACACCCATGGTTTTGCTTCACAGCAAGCTGTGAAGCTCAGCAGCTGAGGACTGATACACAGCTGCATCCAAGTTGAGGTATCACCATTGAAACTTTTTTTTTCACCCAGCTATAAAGGGAGATAAATTCTTCAACAGCCACAACTAAATCCCACAAGAGCCATACATCAGAGCAGTAAAATATTAAATTTGGGATTAACAGCTCTGAATGTTTTGCACTATCCTCGAACAGTTTGAATTGTTTTTGCCCTCCTAACTTCAGAAGCCAGCCTTTCAACCACAAGACAAAATCAAGATGAAACAGGAGACATCACTTCATTGCCACAGCTGTTTGACTCTGCCTGGCAGATTGGCATTTCCTTGTGCTTTAATGAAACAGCTCAACTTACAGGAAACAGGAAAGTCACACTTGAACAGGAGGTGTCATCATGAAACTGACACTTGTGTCCCATTTAGGGAGCCTGGAGAACAAAGGTTTAGCAAGAGAAGTTAACTGTTTGAAACAGTTTCACACAACGCAGTTACCCATGTGGAAAGGCAATTTGGAGGTTATTCCAAGGATCGAAGCAACGCGGGTACCAGTTTACATGATGGGATCGGGTCTATACATGGTGAGTGTGATGCAGGAGACACGACCAGACCAGGACCACACAGCTGAGATCCTTCCTGACCCATATCCACTCTGCTGAAGACACTGTAGAAGACAGCCTGCTCCAGAGGCAGAGGCTGCGCTGGAGACGCGTGGCTGTACCGCAGTCTGCCACGACGGGGAGACGCCACGCCGCAGATGTGCCTTGTTCCTGGAGCATGGGATGCAAATCCCACCCTGGCAAAGGACTTGTTTACTTTCCTGCACAGATGTGACAAAAAAACCCCACCAATCCAAACCCAAAATCCCCCCCTGTCTTGGTTTAGTCTTAGTGATTTAATAACATTAAACCCAGCATTCTTTATATTAATTCTAAAGCTTTGTTCTTTTGAAATACTAAAATCCATTTTCTTTTGAAACATCCACAAAATTAAAAGCACTGGGGATCTTGGAGCTAAAAGCCTTTGAAAAATACTCTCCTTCTGCACTGCACCTAAAAATAGGTGGGTGTTAACAACTAGGGAAAGACCTGCTCTTTGTCCAGCCTGCTGGATAGAGCTGGGGATGGGAGTGAAATCTGATCTGCCAAAGCCCCTTGATTGTATGGCACTAACACAACTGGCAAAGGCAAACATGAAAAAGACATATTTGAAGCAATTGGAAGAAAAATATAAGTGGAAGAAAGAAAAAAGAAGAGGCAAAACCCGTTGTTCCTCTTCTTGATTCCACTGAGCTTTTCAACACTAGCAGCATGGTTAAATTCCTACTAGATTCCTACTGGAGCAGATCTCACTGAATTGAATTTCCTCTGACAAAGCTTCCAGCTTCAGAATACCTCAGAAATGTTCCTCTGCCCCTCTGCAGAGCTGGCCTGTGAGGTAAGCAGGCAATTAAACCCGCTGTCCTTGTGAGAAAGGTGACTGCAGCAACAATACATGGGCTAGGTTACAGAGGCAGCAGAGCGAGACTCCTTTGCGCTGCCTTTCAGCTTAGGTGCCACAAGACTGGAAACACAGAACAAGGCAGTTGCCTGCTCTGACTGACACACAAAGTTGGGTTTCACTGGCTGTAGCTTCCAGGCAGGCTGTCACTGTTGAAAGCAAATTAGATCAGCTGGGCATCAAGTGATACCTCCCATCAGTTTTCACCGCCCACCGCTGCCAGCTCGACACTTCTCTTTAGCGCTGCATGTGCCAACCATCTCACAGAGCCAGCTGCAACATCTACTGGAAGGACACGGGGGGTAACCACAGGTGGGGAGAGGAGCTGGGGGATCTACTCGGGCTTGGGGCAAGATCTTTGCCTGCCTTAGTCCAGGCAGAAAACAGGGTTCTCCAAGAAGACTGCCAGCTTGCTGGCCACCAGGTCCAGGTCACTGGTGTTGGCATATTTGAGCAGATTGGTGTTCTTGAGAAAGTAATGCTTGAGGAAGTGCTGGCTTACACACTTGTGCAGCTTCTGTACCAGCCTCAGAAAGGCTTCAGGGAAGCAGCGCCAATCCTTGGTGCGTGGGTATTTTTCACACGTCCAGAATAGCACTGTCTGCAAGAAGCAGATGGGAGAGAAGATGTGTTAGAGGTTCTGTCGAGGGCTCACACAGCTTACTAAGGCACTTTTAGTGCTGGTAAATGGCTGACAGCCTTGGAAATCACACAGACACATGCTGCTACCTTGCTGTGGTAACGTTTCTGCAATGGAGGGATCCCAAATGACCAGGAAGAGCAGCTCGGAGGTGCCTGGTTAGGATCTCTCCCCAGAGGAGCCGCTCTTCACTGACTGAGCCAGGAGCCCAAGGAAAATGATGTCACTAAAAGAATCTTGGCCTATTTGCCATCCTCCAGCAGGAGGCTCTGTAGAAATGCCAGGCATTTTAAGCTGTAGAAAATGACCTATTATGCAAGGGTAGAAGCCAGTAGATGCAAGGAGGAACAGAGCATAATAAGATCAACATAATTATTTGTTAGCTTCAGCTGTATTTGTGCTGAAGATACACGAAGATTGCATCTTGAACAGACTGAGATTCCAAGAAGCTATTGCAGGTGCAAGGCTTGCTTTCTGCTCAAATACTGCCTGTTTTTTTCTGAAATGTGATACTTCATGTTTTATGTTCTATTCCTCCAAAATTATTTTATGCAATTTAACATTTGAGAAATACATAGTTAAAATAACAAAATGCATATGATTGTTGCTCTTATAATATTATTTTTACACTGCCTATGTTGCATTTTCTCAGACTTTCCCATGACTGAGAAGAATTTTCTCATGGAACTTAGACTTATTGTACCAAAAAAGCAGTACTGACTGCCTTGGTCAGCCTGAAATAACATTTTAAAGTACAAAATCACCTATTCAGTGTTCAATAATTCTGCTAAACTCCTTAACTGTCCTCTGAATCCCAATTTTATTTTGCAAATTCAGCTACCCAAAGAGAGACTCACAGACATTTTGAGAGGAGGCAGAACCACAGCCTTCAACAATGTCTGTTTCTACAGAGGTAGAATTTCATCTATAGTTGTACTGCTGACAAATTTATTCTCAAACAGCTTTTCAAATGTGAAATTTTTGTTGTTCACAGCTGCAATAACCACAAACCCTTTTCTTGAATGTCACCAGGGAACAAAGACATAGTGAGGAATTCAAGCTATAACTCTCTGAGAGCTGCTCCTTGAAGACTTGCAGAGTAGTTACCTTCTGACACACTAAAACTACTTCAGCAGGCAGCAGTTGTAATGAAGTTTCTGAAGGCAAGGAAAACAGTGATGCTTTTTCAGTCAGGAGCCTAAACAAGTGATTTATCCCCAGTATTTATGTCCCTAACTTCCAGCTCTCTACCAACAGCATAGAGTTCGCTTTCAGAATGTACCTAGATCTTTTTGAAATTCCAGATCTCAAACTTCATTTCTATGCAGGTAAGCAAAAGAAGGGCAATTACATGGTTCTCTCTGGCTTTCAGAGCTCCTGGTATGCAGATTTCCCCTGTCACAGAGAATCTTGTTTAATCCTAATTGTTGGATACCTCTGACAGGGGCAACCTGAGAATTTGTGAAGAAACAGGGGGAACATGAGAATGTGAAGAAACTTAACGCTAAGCCTCTGCTCAACTGCTGGTTTAACCACCGACTGTTTCTCTCATTTTTCTTTTCTTTTTTTCCTGTTTTTTTTTCTAATATGAGTAACTTTGAAAAATTCTTTCTGTCTGGTAAACCAATCCTCTCTTGCTGTAAAAGCCGGAACTATAGTAACTATAGTAAAGAATTGAAGAGCTTCTAAATAGTTTCCTACTTTGATCAAAAGTCCATGCAACAGCACTTCCTGCACATCTGCTCCTTCAGCCAGGGAAAAACATTGTTCCTAATGGTTAAATGGTTTTTCACTTTGTCTTACATATGACAGTTTTCCCACTAGGTAGTTCTTAGAGGCACTGAGGAGTTTTGCATTCAGCTAAGCTCTAATCAGCCTCATTAATTTTTTAATTCCATCCTGACTTAGTGTAGTGCCATGACTGTAACAGCATTTGATGGTCACCAGCTTTTTCTTTAGGACGACTCTCAGCATTGCATCTGATTTCAGACACCAAAAGATCAGTAACTACAGTAGGAACCTAATGGCTTGAGGCTTCAAGGTGGGAAAAGTACAGCCTCTCCCTGGTAACTCCAGGAGGAAGAAGTCCCAGAAAACAGGATTTTTAATCTATAATCTAACACATGGTGCTGCCTGTGGCACAGTGGTGTCTGCAGCTGTCAGATGTGGAGACACAGTAACAGCAGGGTCTTCTCTCTCTTCTTCACAAATCTTGTTTGAAGCCATCTTGAACCCTGAAATAGGTGCAGGGAGGATGCCACCACCTCTTTAACTCCTCCTTCTTCCCTTCCTATCCCAAGTGAACCACCACCAGAACTGTAGTTTTCACCTAATTCATTAATAATGCTCGCCTAAGACAGTTTTGTTTGGTGCACATCCACAAAGAAAAAAAGCACCACCTTCCACCAGAGAGGCAGATGGATATAGATGTCTGGGATAGTCAAGAAGCAGGAAGTAAGTGTGCAATTACAGACAACAGTACAACGTGAAATCAAAACAGAGGAGGGGCCTCAACTATTTATGTTGCTGCAATCATACTGTTCCTACAGGCCTTAGTTCCTTACTGAAGTTTGGAACACATATTCAGTGAACTCCTTGCCACCATAAAGCAATGAAAAGGTACAGCAGTTTTGAGAGTTACCTTAGAAGTTACACAGATGCTACACTGACTTACACCACAACATTCTGACATTACTGGATGGAAGCCACTGCAACAGATCCCATCACTTTATGTAGGTATCAGGATGGTGCCTACCTGGAGGTGATAAGCTGTGATGACAGGCTTATTCCCAGCACACCAGACATCTTCCTTCATCTGCCTCATGACCCTGAAGCACTTCATGCGACAACCACCATCTTCATCCAGTCCCTCCATGAGGATGTGCTCAGCACGGGAGAAGCACAGCTGCCAGTGGTAATTAGAGCGGGCCAGGAGGTCAAAACCCAGCGACTGAGGAACGACAGGGGAAGTGTGACAGCAGATCAGAGGCAAACTTCTCCCAGCAATGCAGACACAGGTTACAAAAGCATGTTAGCAGAGACAGCAAACATGAGGTGCACTCCCATCTTAATTCTTAGTTGAATAAACACACATTTTGCATTGTTTCCTTGTGTGCTGGTATTAATTACTGCCGGGAGATCCTGCTCTACAGCCATCAGGCACAGTACCAGCAGTGCCACTAAAGCAGAGGTACAGCTCTGCAGGCACTTTCCTGTGCAGCAGGGAGGGGAGCAGGACTGGAAGGTAGAATGGGACCGGCAGGAACTTGGCAGCTGGGGTTGAGCTGAAATGCCAGAATTCAGCCATAAATGTTGTAGGGAAAGATGGGATTGAGCTGGAGGGAAAATTGCAAGACACCAGCCTATTTGCTGAAGTCTTATGTGAAGCAGAACAAGAATGATGCACGTCAGAGCTGTGTGATGCAGGTAGAACTGTTTGCTGGAGACTCACACAATAAAAAGTTAACTCAGATTTTTCCTATAGAATTCACCACTGTATGGGGGGGAAACAAAATCCAAATAAATTCCGACAGAATATTTTGAAACACTGCTTCTCTCTTTAGAAATACATCTTCTAACCCTACTGCCATCACCATACAGTTCTTTCCTTGGAAAAACACTGTTGGACACCTGAGAGGTAAATTCCATCCCAGAGTTAAGGGTGTTTTTTACACTGTTTACCTTGATGCACTGCACTTTTTCCTGAGAAGGCCAACGCCTAAGGCAACGAGGCCACCGGGCTTTCTCGGGCCAGCATGTTGGAATCTCCACAGCAGGGACCAGCTCCACCTCAACCTGGGATTCTGACGTCTCCACAGCCACCCGGACCACTGAGCTGAAGCTCTCCAGCACTGTCACTTTACCTGTGAAAAGACAACAAGAGAAGAAAATATAGATAAAAAGGTCCTTTTCTACAAGTCAAGCAAGAGGCTGTCTAGGACCTTGCAGCTCTATTGCTCTGTCTTAACACCATCTCCTCAATAACACATGAAGACTGTAAGAAAAGCCTAAATCTATAGAAGTCTATCCTGGGGAAGGAGAACAGGAAGATGAAAAAACAATGTTCTTAACTTTACACTCAATTATAATGCTTTTTTGTTTTCTTTGTGGGTCCTCTTAAATCCTAGGATCAGGTTCTTAAAAATAAAGCTAGATAAGTGGTGCAACTTAACATTTCTAATAGTATACTACAAGGAGATCACTGCAGATTGGAGAGGACCAGATGAACACTTCCTATCTAAAGATGTTCTTCTTCCTTCAGAGAACCTAAGATCAGACCCACGCCAGATCACACTTACCACTGCCAGTCATTCAGAATATTTTGTGGGCTATCTGTAAAGTTTATTTCTGGAGATGCACTTGCACAGGAGACAATACCAGAATTTATGGTCTGTTGTGTAGAGCAGTCACACAGAAAAGGCTAACTGCTACATCACTGCAGGTGCTGAGTGTTAAGGAGAGTTAGTTCCAAGGGGACTGGGAGGAAAGAAGTTTCCTCAGTGTTAAAGAAGAGTGGCTCGTCTCCAGGAACAACATGATCTAAGAGTACAGAAAGGAAAACAAGCTGCAACTAATGGACTTTGTGGAATGTTTCCTGTTGGTCCAGCTGAGTTCATGGAAGAAGTTTCTGTTCCAGTCACTCTGGCAGGATCATTGCCCCTTCAGCTCTGCCATCTGAGCCAACTGCATGTTCATTGTCTAACCCACTGAAGTGAAAGGCTGAGCAGATGAACATAAGCCCTTTAAAGAGCACTGTGTTATCCCACCTCATTTTGACTGGCATGTGCTAAGGAGCAATTCATGGGGTGAATTACCTTACCATGCAAAGAGTAGAGTCCATCCCAACCAAAACTTCATTCACCTCAGAAAATCTATGTGCTACTTCCCTGCTGAGCCACGTGTGGCATCAAAACAGGAATTGTTGTGTTCCCAAGCTCCCAACAAGGATCCCTAGCAGCTGAGATGTGTTAGAGCAACCACTGTATCAGCATGTAAATATGTTCATAGCATTTCCAAAAGCATTGCAATGTTTATACCTATTTTTCCACTAATGAAAAGTGAGACATCTCAAAAACTGATTTTGCTGGTGTTGAAATAATTAAAAAACAAGGAAGCAAAGAAATCAAGTGCAGTTTTTCTGTAACTTTAGCCATACTGTGGGATGAATGAAGTCCATTCTTCACATTAAAAACCAAAAATGGTAATTGCTTCTCTGGACTTCATCTTAGCTCATCTCCTCCCAGTGGACCATACAAAAAAGGCATCAGAATCATCAACCTAAACACCACTCTCTGGGGTCCTTGCAAGTACCTTTCCTGCAACACTCAATTTTCACTCAAAAACTTGATGTGATTGCTGCCCAACACAAAAACTTTCACATAGGTAAAGCCTCAGAAGCAAGCCTGTTCCAGCTGGTCTTTCTTGTGAGCCTCAATGGTGAAATTTTATTGCTATCCACCTTTCCATTCCTATAATAAGAAGTACTTCCTGAAAAAAATGCTATTATCTAGCAGAGCTTGACTTTTTTTTTCCTGTGACTACAATTCAGAGTGTGATCAGATCAGTGGAAATAGCTTCTATTGCTCTGAAATATAGAAGACTCATTAGGCTACTGATGAGTGAAGTCATTCTGGAACCATGCTATGGGAAGAGGCACCACAGGAATAGCCTGGACACTGGGGAAAAGAGCTCTTGTCCAAAATATTTTGCTTCAGTAGAAGTGCTTCTACTTAGTTCCCACCATCCGATGCTGTGGGAAATCTGTGGGCAACTAAGGTTTCCCCAGAGCATTATCTGCCCTTTAAATATCTTCAAACATGTTCTTCTCAGATGTACACATCTTTCCAGTACCCAATTTTCCTATACTACCTTCATTAATAATTTAAATATATTGCAGGTACTGTAGTAGAGAAGGATTTTTTCCCAAACAAACTCCTAAGTGTTCTAAAAATATAGGCTGCCTCTCAGTTGAACTGCCAGGGTGTTGTTGCTGCAGACCCTACCCAAATTCCGAAGAAAGGAGAAACATCTTGGGTACAAAGAGCCCCAGAACCAATGAATTCTATCTTCAATGCAGGTCTGTGTAGATCCTTCAATCACTTGAAGGCTTCCTGGCTTTGCAGAGTTTTGTTCAGCTTCTGACCATGCAAGCCAAACACTCTGTGTGTGTGATGGTTTCCCTCACACCTGTCCCCACCAAACTCACTGGAGAGGTTACAGGAGACGATCGACTTCTCCACCAGCTCCCGGAAGACGATGAGGACTTTGGCTGGAACAAGATCACCTTCGATGTTCACATCCTCTTCATGCCACTGCTGAAGGCTTTTTGAGAACTGCTCCACCTCCAGCCACTGATGCAATTCCTCAGGGTCCCGCACGGAGGAGAGGAGCTTGGCTCCATTCACGGTGTAATAGCGCCAGTGCCGTACCTGGCATTCCCTGTAGCCGGTCAGGCCACGCAGAGGAACTGTGATGAGGAACTGGCTGGGTGCTAAGACCTAGGAGAGTTCAGAGAGATGGAGAGAGGAGACAAGGGCAGATCCATAAGGAAAACAGGGTTGAGGAAGTACTAGGTAAAACTGGGGGCTTTGAAAAGAAGGACAAACTATGATGGGACTAACTGAACACAGCCAGGATGTGTCTAAGGGTTGCCTTGGAGGCATGCAGACTAAAAGGAAATTGTCTTAGAAGGTGTCTGATGTGAAGCTCTTAGAAGATAAGAGCTCACTGGCTAATTTGCCACAACACCTGCCATGCTTTCCCCCTTTTCTTGTTATTTCTAGTCTGCAATTGATGACATGTAATAACCAGCAGCTTCCAAGAAGCAGGAAGGCATAAGTAAATATGTTTTGAGATCCAGCCAAGGGAAACCCAAAGAGTGGTAGTTATTATCTCAGAATTGTTACTTGAGATAAGCCCAGAGTCCAATGCTAGTCATAACTATGACAAAAAGTTCACCTTTCTGATCTCTTTCGAAGTCCATGAGAGACATTAGCAAAAGAAGGCTATGGCCCATTCATTTCACAAGTGTTTCAAGTGTTTCTGTTTGACTGGCCTTTAAAGGGACAGACATAAAGCAAGTGACATGCCTGAGCCTACAGAGGCAGTGTCACACCCAGAAATAAGTCCAGGTTTTGGCCAGCTGTAATGTATGGAACTGCATTTCCTGATAAGCATGACAGAAACAGTGTAAGGGTAGAGGCAGCAACCAATGGACAAGGAAGCCTTAAAGAGGCTTGTTTGCAAGCCAGTTCATTTGCCTCACTTGGGGAACAACCATTTTCTAATAAAAAGCAGTTCTGAGACAGTATTTGCAAGGAAAGAATGAGGTGACTCAAATACCACAAAACATCATCTGTCTGGCCAAGGGCATAGCCAGACATGTCCAAGTGCTACTTTGGAAGCATCTGGCAGTTGTGGTTCCAGAAGGGGTGTTCAGTCCTCAGATTTTTACCATGTTGTCTTAGGAACATTGCAGACCAAACCTAACTTACAGTGGCATAAGTAAGGTGAAGCTGCTGCATGAGCAGGATGTGAAGTGACAGCCACTGCTGCGAGGTGGTTACACCCATGGTGAACGAAACACGCTTGTCACTCTCCTGTAATAATCCAAAACACTCTGGTAGCCTTCCTCATCTCAGCTGATTTAAAGTATTACCACAGAGGTGCCAGGGCCCTGAGGGCACTAACAGGTTTTTTTGCCCCTAAGCAGCCTTTCTGGACCTTCTGCCATGGGTCTGGGACCCCTATTTCAGGTTAGCCCTGGGCTCCAGTGAGTGGGGAAGCAGCTTGACCTCAGACCTGACTTATCAGCAGGCTCCCCTTATGATCTACACTCGTGGCTGACCCAGCTGCCCTCCTTTCATCTGTCTCACTCAAGGACCATAGGGCAGGGGCTGCCTTGCTATGCTTACCTCCTGTCTCTCTGTCTCACAGGGAGCAGCTGGTCCTCTCTGCTCCCTGGCAAGAGATTTGGAAAACAAAAGATGGCTAGCCAGAAGCACAGAAATAGCAAAGAAAACACCAGGATGCTGCTCTTTTGTCAAATATGATCCATAAATGAGGATGCTGCTCTTTTGTTAAATATAAACCATAAAGGAAGATGCTGAAAGGATGACATTACAGATCAAGCTGACCTGCACATGTCAGCTTTGGTGGGGCTGAGAAATCCTGTGGGCAGTTTAGAAACAGAGTAATAGGCTCCATAAGGAAAAAATACAATGGCTGTCATGCAGTTACTACTCCTCTCACTGCCTCAGCCACATTTTCAGGTAAACAACCATTTCCCCCCATACCAAAATGCTGTCTTGTATGCACTGGCACCCAATAAATTGCAAAGGGAAGAGCTGCACATGTTATGTGAGTGCCTACAAATGCAAGTCACAAGGGTCCTCCACCTGGGGCTTACCAGAAAACAACAGAATGCACAAGGCTGGGATTAGCACTGTAAAGCTGGGCAGTTGGTAACTTCTTGGCCTAAACAAATCCCAGTCCCACACCTATGCTGTCACAAGATGGTCTCACACACTGTGTGCAGGCCACAGGCAAGAGTCTCCAGTTCTGGGTGTGTAACTTGTGGCCAGTTCTGCTGTGTTAACATTCTGTCTAGAGTATGCTGGGCAAATTAAATATAACCTCATTCTTGTGAACCTGGCCAGGCTGTTCCAGGGAGACAGAAATATTAGGTTAGAAAGAAAATAATTACTCTTTGAGAGGGGAAAAAAAGCAAGTCTCTTGTTCAGAGGACAAATCGGTCATGGGAGGATCAGTGTGGTGGGTTAAGTTGTCTGGAGAAGAGGGTGTGTGAGGAGGAAGCAAGCACAGGGATTGTCAGGCACCAGGAAGGCTTTGTACCTGGATGGATGGGTGGAATGGGCGCTTCCTCCGAAGCATAGCTGACCACTTGGCCAGTAAAGCTGGCTGATCCTGAGAGAAGCAGAAAGGAAGACAAGTGGACAGAACAGAGAGAAAGCATCATTCATTCACAGCAAAGGTCATTCATTCACAGAGCAAAGCTGCAAGCTTCCCCGGATGCTTGGAGTTTGTTGAAGGAAAATCCCCCCCCATTTCCCCCACCTTGATTAAACACTTGACAATGCCACTGGACAGTGCAGTACCAGTGATTAGTCTGCCCCTCTTCATTGTAACTTTACTGAATTTTCATCAGCCCTGCACAGTTGACAGCTCCAAAAATGGTGGGCCACAAAAAACCCCAAACAGTTAGAACTTTTAAAAATTAAATAATCTGTTTTGTTCATATGAATTTTAATTCAGGTTTTCAATAAAGCATAACTTTTTGTTACATGGATCACAGGAAAACACTGTATACCTGAAGACTTTTCTTAACTAGTCTCCACTCAGCCCTTCATATTTAGAAGGGAGCTTGAGGCTTCTCAATAAATTTAGATCTCTCACCATGTTAAATTGATTCCTTTTAGCCAGAAGCTGAAAGTTCTGAAAAATCCTGTAGAGTTAACTGACATAAAAAAATATGTTGCGAAATTGAACATGGAAAAATGAATAGATTGACTTTCCCTGGACACAAGTCTCCTCTATGTTAAAGTATGTCAGCAACAGTATTAAAGTTTTCAATCTTTGGAAGTAGATAGCCCAAACCAAAATAATTTCTCATCAACCCATTCTTTCATGCCCCACACATATAGGACAGTTAGTCAGTTCCTCCTAGTGTTACTTCCACAGCTTTGTAACACTGGGTTCAGTTAAGCACGAACAACAGATCTGCCACTTTTAAGGAAATAGATTTTGAGGATTTCTTTCAAGCAGAATTTGTTCAGATCTGCATACTATAACATCAAGTTACTGCTCATAATAGATTGCCTTGGTGGTCTTGTTCTACTTTGCTTTCCGGAGCAACAATTTTACCCTGACCCTGGTCCTGTCAGACCTCATTAGCCAAGCAGGTTTGTTCCACACAGGAGGTGCCTGGCAGAGTCTGGCACTAAGGAACTCATGGACCAGGATGTGGCACTGTCACTGTGGCCATACTTACTGACAAGACCACATGCTCTGGGATACAAGAAATCCAGAAAAGCTATGAATCTAAATGTCTTTGTCCCCAGGGCAATGGCCACATTTCAGACTGGGTGATTTTATTTTGCCTCCACCTCCATACCATTCCAGCAGCTTCATACAAAGACTTCTTCCCTTTCAGTCCCAGAGAGCTGCAAAAGTTGCCTCGTGCTTTTATGTATTTGCTGTGTTTTGATCTGTAAATGGCTGTGGTTCAGTATAATGCTTGACATTACTATTTCAACTAGTTCAGATGAAAAAATTGTTTTCATCTGAAGTTACCATTGCTGTGATTGTTTCTTGTGTCTTTACTAGTTACTTTTGTGTAATGGAGTCACAAGAAATAAGCAGCCTTCTTCTGTCACAGCTGGGGCAGGACATTACTATTTTTACGTCTGAAGGTCTAAAGCAGGGAGGCATTTCAATTCTCCCACTAATAAGAATTATTTTTTTCCTAATGAAAAAGAAATTCCAATTCATGACAAAGAAAAAACATATTTTTCAGAAGAAACTTTCTAATGTTCATAGCAGAAGAAGGACTTTTAATTCTTCTTTAATCATTTTTAGTGAGTTGACAGCTTTTTTACCTGTGAAAAATATGGGTCATAGCTCATGAAGGCATGAGCATTTTTTCTTAAGTTACTGCTGCATAAGTTTTTCTTTCTGACTCCCAAAGAGTTTTGGCTTCTGTTTGTGGATTGACAGCTCTGGCAATAGATGCTGTTTGTAAACACAGCAGCTGCAAGAAGAGGCTCTGCTTGATTTATCCATCTCTCTTGGATGCTCCTCTGGCTGTGAGATGTCCATGAGTGAGTGCCAATGACCCAGTCAGTAGAACTCCACAGTGAAGTGTCAGCACATCGTCTGTGGTGTTTGGGTGAGGTACCTGCCATACAAACACTTACATAATGGAGAAATCACTTTCTGGTTGCCTACAGGCTGCCAGAGAGTGCATTAAGGTTTTTCTTCATACCTTGATGTTCTCATTGTGAATGCCAGAGTTGGAGATAGCCTGGAATCGCACGGCCTTGTAGCTGATTTCTGCAGTCAGCTGCTGGATGATTTTCTGCACCTCCTCCACTGCTTTGGAAACCAGGTAATGCCGCCGTTCCACCTGTCAGTTCCAGAAAAGACACTTCATGTTAGATGTAATTGCAGTCTTAGTCTCCAGTGGGAAGCACACAAATCAGCTTAAAGCATCCTGAAACATTTGCGCTTGTGCTGCACTGGGAATAAAAATTGCTCCCCAGTCTATTGCAATCAATTTACCATGAGACAGAGCTGAGAACACCAAAGGGTCAATATTCAAGACTATTGAGTATTAATTGATATTTCCATGCCAACACCATTGGATGGAAGGAAGGGAGTTCACTACACAGATAAATTTATTACCAACTAATTCTACAGTCTCAAGTCTTTATCCATTTGATGCAGAATACCAGTTACTCCCCTGCATATGGTAGCCATTCTCAAAGTCAGAATATGTTCCATTCCAAGAACTGACAGGACATCAAGACTTCGAGATTTGTCCATTAGTCAGGTGGCAGATGTATGTGGCATCAGTTAGATGCCTACCTTTTACACTGAAAGTATCCATATTTTCTTTATGGCTGAAGTACAGATGAAACTCTACTCCTAGACAGTGTGAAAGCATATTTCCAAAACTGGCCCTATTGGGAACTAGGTGTTTGTGTGGCTTAAAGGGTAGTTTTTCAATTCAAGAAGTAGTTGCATAATGAATTATTGAAAATTATTTCAGTGAAATGTCTGAGTCTTGGGACAACTGAGGTGATGAGTGGACAACTCAGAAAAATATAAGATGAACCTGAACCTCACTTATGACTAAAAGTTAAGGGAGCACAAGGGGACTGTCACAATCTGAACAAGGACATTCAACAAGAGGAACATGAAGGAACCATGTTAGTAAAAGACATTTAATATTTCCCAAATATCCTTACACATTTACCAAAGTGAGGAGATTCAGCTGTTAACAAAGTTCAAGAACATATTTGTCATTACTTATACAAGCAGAATTACTTATGGAGAGTGAAATATTAAGACTGTTTACTGTTCATTTTTGGATCCTATGCTTCATCTAATTTAGTTGCAGCTTTTGCTTTCTTCTTGATTCTTCTTTTTCCTCACCATATTCTACTAAATGTTATTGCTTGCAGGCAAGAAAAAAAATCAGAAACAGAGTTCATCACTCGGCTAAAGTGAATGATAAAGCATAATTGCCACAGTCAAATATAATTGCTACAATATTTTGTTATTATCAAAGACCAAAAGGAAGCAAAATCATAAGTTAAAAATTCTGTACTGTGAAGGCAGTGAAGCCCTGGCACAGGTTGCTCAGAGAAACTGTGGATGCCCCATCCCTGGAAGTGTTCAAGGCAAGGCTGGACAGGGCTTTGAGCCCTTGTCCAGTGGAAGGTGTCACAGTCCACGGCAGGGAAACTGCACTATATGATCTTTAAAGGTGCCTTCCAACCCAAACCAGCCTATGGCTTTCTAAATTTCCTGTGTCCTGTTTACTCAGCATCTTCTTCAGCATCTAAACAACTCCCTAGTCTCTTTTACTATCAGCCAAAAACACACAAGTGTGTTGAAATGTGTCCCTAGGGCCTGGAAGAGGACAAATACATCCACTTCTTCATAAAAAGGGACCATTCAATGGACTAAAGTGGATTAGCGCCTGCCTCATATCCATTAACCCATAAACAGCAATTGACTAACACTGAACTTGAACATGAACAGAGTTTGAATTCCTTCCTCCCTCAGACAACAAAGTTAACAGTACTTTTACTAAGCCTGAATAGCTTTTGAAAGTGGGAAATATATCACGCAACAGCACCATATTCCCTTGACTGAGCTCTCATCCACCCTTGACATTCTGTTTCTTTACTATCTTAACACCATGTAGTCCTTCATGTTTATATAATGCCCTTTAATTTCCCTAGTAATTCACCCTCCTCCTCATTCCAATTCACCATTTTATTTTGTGTGACAGAGCAGTTTTAGCTACTTACATGTACTTAAAAAAACCCCAAAAAACACTGAAAGATTTTAGCCCATGTTCATTTTCACCTCCTCATCTCAGCTTTCATTTATGGCACTTCTCCATCTGTATCTATACTGTATCTATTTTCTCCACCTTATTTTTGTTCATCCAGAACAACTCCTTAGAAATAGTCCAATAAGCTTGACAAGATACCTAATGGTTTCTCCAACAAGTGAATGGTGCGTGGCAGAGAAAGTTGTCCATGTCTAAGAGCTTTTATGCAAAAAAAGACTTTTTTTAAACTGAAAAGTATAAAAAGTATACACGGTGGGTCAGCTCAAACAGAGACTTAGTGTGCCCTCTTTATGCACTGCTCATGCTCTGTTCTCTCTAAGGGGCACCTGCTGGAAACATTTTTTGCCACTTCCAGTATCCAGGGAAAATCTATTCAACACAGCCTGGACTCATTTAATTCTGCCTTCATCACCTACTGACTAGGCTACAGCAGTTGTCATGAATTCTTTATAATATACACTAAAAAAAAAAAAACCAAAACAGTTGAGGGAGTACCACTAAACACCTCTTTCCATGTGTTCTCCCCATCACTGGAGCAGGGATAAAAAACAATGGGCATGTGACTGACAGAGGGTGCTCACTATAATTAACTAACTATAATTAGCTCCCTAATCATCCTGTTGGAAAATATAACCTTCCTACAGAAGGGAGGGTAAAAAAATCAGAAAACAGAAGGTGAGTCTGAAGAGCCAAGGCATTTATCTCAGATACTTCTAGTACCAGCACAGACACATTGGAAGAAAGACACTGTATGGTATTTGCTGGACAGTCACTTCTGTGACTCGCTGGCATTCCCCTTACCAGGTCTTAACTCAGGGAATTGTGCTAAAATAAATGCACAAAACTTGAATAACAAGGTCAATTATGATTTTATTAAGGGGGGAGGAAGCAGGACTGGGATTTATTAGAAACTGTTTCCCTTATTTACCCAGCCTCATCCATACCATACGCATTCAAATTTTTCCTTTGATGAGCAGCTTAAGGATGAAATCTCTGGTATTATAGAGATTCATTGCACCAGGTGGTTGACCTATTTCCAAAAACAGGCAGCATTTGACAAGCTGAACTGCCTGAAGTTGGACAAGAGGCTCAGGAGCAGGCAGAAACTAAGAATCCATCAGAGCTGGAGGGCTGCTAGAAAACAGACTTCTAGTATAATCTAAAATATTGGCAACTATGAGTCTCACTTAACTAGAGCCTGCTTCTGTTCCTTGTACTTATGGCTGTCATATGAGCATTTTCCTGTGCATGGCTTCCCTCTGTTCCCTCCTTTGTAGCTCTGCTTTTTAAATCTTCAGAGAAGTGTTCTCTGTTATAGCTCACTGAACAGATTCTTATGGAATTATTTTCCTGTGCACAACACTGCATGCCTGAAGAAGGTATATTTCTGGGAGAACTTTCCTACTTGCCACCAAAACATTTCCACAGAGAAAACAAACCTTTCTTACCAGCCCCTTCATTGTACTAGAATATGTGATCCTTTACAGAAGATAAAGCCTTACACTTTCTCATTTTGAAATTATTTGTCACTTTGGTATCTTGCATTTTGTTGGGGAAAGCAGACAATAAAACAGGATCTAGCTAAGTACTGCCATGAAACATGTCAGCTTTAAAAAATGTTATGGCTCACTTAGAACTTTTATTAAACAGTATTGTTTCACAGAAGATTTTATTCTGTTTTATTTCATTTCATAATGGGGGAAAAATTGAGTGCTGGAATATCTTATAAAATAGAAAATGAGATTCCAGTCTGCATATGCTAATGAGACATGTTATTTTAATCATGGTATATAGAGAAGTATCCTAAGTTGAGGTGACAGACTGATGACTGAATTCTAACAATATTGGTCTGCCTCTGCAGTTCCTACATGAATCTTTTTTAGAGGCAACACCTGGCTGGTGTTGGTCTTGTTTTGGTCAAGCCAAGACCACCAGACAGGGAGAGAGGCAAGGACATTTCCTTAGATTTAAATGCTGTCAATTACAGCTAGTCTCACATCTGGAATTCCAGATTAGGAACAAAAATTCAGGACACCTAGAAGAAGAGGACAAACACCTTGAAAAATTAGGCTACCAGCAGATAAGATTCTACAACAGAAACCTAGAAATCTCATTAGAAATACAGTTCTCATGAAACTTCACCCAATCTTGTCTCAGAAATGAAGACAGCAGGCGAGCAACTAAGTGTCAAATTTGGCACCCTTCAGAATCAACACCTAGTGTGGGAGACAGAAAATCTGGTCAGATAAAGTCTTACCTTGCTCTGGATGTAGATTTCTACATCTTCATCTGTGAACGGCTTCATGGCAAGATGGTCTTCGCTGCTCTTTAAAGTGTGAATTCACTCTTCACTTGTTCACCTGCCTCTGGAAGTAGAGGAACACTCAGAGAGAGCTGCTCAGAGCCTTCTTGCCCTGTGAAGCTCAGTTCACCTAACACCTCTGTGCTGTGGGTGAGTAAGAGAAGAGAGAAGCAAGGAAGCATGCCTATTTTTAATAATTTTCTTTTTCTGCTCTGAGCTACAATGGTGACTTCCAGCTCATTCAGAAAACTAGCTCCAAATATTATTCTCTACCTTCAATTGTTATTATTAATCTTATTACTTTTAAATGGTGGATCTTGCATGCAGGCATACACAAAAAAATCCCAGCAACTGCTCTGTCTCAGGGCAGATCTGGAAGTGCTTTTCAGATTGCAGTGCAGCTTCAGTACATACATGCACAGCATTATTAATCTGCATGCCACTAGTACGCCCCTGCCTCACTACACCCTTTCTTAAATGCTCTCAACAAGTTATTCCTTGTTGACTAATCCATTCTCTTTCCATCTGAAAACATATGGGTATTTTTACACTCATATCATTCACTGGGGTTGCAGTCTGCAACCCCTGCTCCCCTCTTCTCCCCTCTCCTTATATCTCCCCTCTCTCTCTGGCTGTATTGACAGTAAATATTGTGCAGCTTGTCCCCTCCTGTAGCCTGCTTCTCTTTCTTTACAGTAAACAGACAGAAAGCTGCCTCTCGTTTTCTGCCAGCAGCTCAGCTAACAACCCCATATGGATGATTCAGAGGCAAAAACAATTGATCAGGCCTCATTGATCCAGTGAAGCTTGGTGGCTTTTAGAAAGAAGGGTACATCAGCACATAGAAGGGAGAGACAGAGTATAGACATGAGACCCCATGCTGCTAAGCATTTCTCCCTTATTAAGGAAGGCACACTCCACTTTTGGGTAAGATTTACTGCCTCTGCAGCAGCTGGCAAAAGGCAGCACATGGGTGGGCAGTGGGTGCTACCTCAGGAGAGGTACTGTTGTTGCTAGTTATCCTTCATTACGTCCTTCATTACGTCAAATATGAAATACATTAATTTAAGTAATTAATTGGAGCACAAATACCTGCAAGACATCTGCTTCCCTAGCACCTACAAAGCAAACCTTTCTCTGACAGACAGCTGCCACTGTCTTCTTGCTGACTTGAAGATTCCTTCACAAAGATGTGTAGGTATTTACTTCCCAAACCAGCTTCCACTAGAGTTGGGCACTGAAAAAGATTTTCTCGATTCCCCAATGTCTAGGGACTCATACCATATTTTTGCTTACTTCAGGATTCACTGGCTCTCTTTCCTCTGAGGGGACAGCAGTTTATGTGAGCTCTGCTAGGAAAGCCAGATAAAAGGCAGGGTCTGAAAGAAGGCAAGTGAAATAACAGGTTGGAACAGAATTTGTAGGGATTGGTTGAATGGGATTATATCCAAGCAGAATGTACAAGAGAGCATTAAAAGCATGCCCCTAAAACATTAAGTCCCTGGTGCTCCCTCAGTCAGTCAGCTGCACATATAGCAGACAACTTCCTTAACACTCTTGACACCACCCGACATTACTTTAATACTCAGACCCTCAGACATGTATTATGAAGCAAGGAGAGATTAAGGGTCTCTCTTTCTTGCACCTGTAAGGTCTCTCCTCGTGACAGCTGTCCAGAGACATAGTGCTGGCAGAGAGATGAAGTGGTTTTGGTCATTTGTCTTTTATATAATAACACACCTTATGTTCATAATCCTTAATATTATAATCCATCCATTATTTCCATCTTGTAAGTAGCACATATTATGCTACTAATGGGCTACAGTAAATACTACAACTGATAAAGACCTTTACACCACCAGCAAAATACAGATTAGAGTGGTATCAAAGGCAGCAGACAGTCTTGACCTCACAAGAACTTGTGTTTGTCACATGAGGAGCAGATAGCACAGAATGCAGCAGAAAAGTAGAGGCAGAGGTCATGTGTGAAGAGGGAATGTTACTGTGAGAAAAGCCTGCATCAGAAGGAAAGAGTAAAGAGAAAGGACAGAGCAGAAATCAGAACATCTGCATAGATAAAAGAGGATGCAGACACAAAGTGGGAAGAATCCAGTCTTCTCCAGTGAGGTCTACTGAGCTGATGCAGTGGTACTGCAGAGAAACCTCCATCAGATGGGTCCTTCTCAGGCACCTTCTGCTTGTATAAAGTAAGATAAAGGTGGAGAAAATTGGAAATGGATCCAAGCTCCAACAGTTGATAAATACAATCTCATAAGAAAATATTTCCCCTGAGCCTACAACAACTTAACTCCCCAGGCACACCAGCAAGAGGGAGTGAAAAATGGCTATTCCTTTTTCCTCGCTCTTCAAGGAACACAGAAGGAAAGAAAGAGGGCATCAAGAGGATGAAGCCAGGTTCTTCTCAGTGGTTTCAAGCATCAGGACAAGAGACAATGGGAAGAAACAGATGCACAGGAAGTTCCACCTGAATATGAGAAAGAACTTCTTAAATGTGAGGCTGATCAAGCACTGGAACAGGTTGCCCAGAGAGTTTGTGGAATCTCCCTCACTGGAAATATTCCAGAACTGTATGCAGTTGTCTGTATGCAATCCTGTGCCATGTGCTCTGGGATGACCCTGCTTGAGCAGAGAGGTGGGACCAGATGACCCATTCTTTTGTGAAAAAGCTCACAACAGCTTCATGGAGATAAAAACCACTCTGCTAAAGCCAGGCAACCATGTGAAGACAAAACCACTCTTCAGTTCTAGTTAGCTCACAATCCATCAGATATCATGGACATGAGCACTACTGAGAGCTTTTGAGCTTGATTAAATTGGCAAATTAAACTCCTAAGTATACTTGTTTCTAAGGAGATTCCCATCCACACTGAGAATGGCTATCTTTTTGACACCTCTGAATCCTCTTTCTTTTCTAGTGATTGTTAGAAGTGCCTTAGGCCCTCACTAGGGTCTGGGCATATTTTTGAGAGACAAGTTTCTCCAGACAGTTCTTGCTGAAGCCCTGCAACCTTCCTTCCCTCTTTGATGGTGTCTCTGATGAGGTTTTTAGCATCACATATCTAATTAGCCAACCACAGACACCTGAATTCTGCTTGATGAGCATCCATTGATTTATACAGTTTCTCTCAAGCATTTTCAAGCCACACTTCAAATACTTTGGTCTTCTCAAATCACAGTTCCCTGTCTGCTGATCTGCATAAGATCATATGAAATGACTCAGCTATATTACATCACCCCATTTGTATTATTTCAGTTCCCATTTTATAGTACCTTATAATGAAGTTCAGATTGTGGATAATTTCCTTTGTACCTGCATCTTCATTTACGTAGCAGTACTCTGAAGAGGATTTAGAAATTTCCTAGTATCTGCAAAAACACTGAATCTGTGGTATATAATTTTCATTCATGCTGTTGGCAATATGCAGGACTGAATATGATTTTGGATCTGTGAAATGCTTGTGAAAGTATTCTGTGAATATATGCCTTGAATGGTATTAGATTGGCTCTTGTATGTTGTGAAGATGCCAATTACTGATGCTTTCTATGCTTGCTTGGCTTTCCTTTCTTCACTCTTCAGTTTCACAGATATGACAAAGACATTTCAAACCTACAATCAAAAGTAATATGAACTGTGAATTGCACAACAATAAAGAAATCACCAACATCTTGTAAATAAGAGCAGCAGTATTAACTGCACAGGGTTGTCCAATATTGTGTCTTTTTCTGTTGGGCAACTATTTAGAAAAACTATTCATACGGAACAGTGAGCATGTATTAAAAAGCCTCTGCTAAATCACACAAATGAGTCAGACCAATGTACCACTTGTGACTCACAGATGATCTGCAGTGGCAACAAATAAGCCCTGTTGAAAATGCTGCCTTCCAGATGAAATACAACCCTGAATTTCTAGTTGCTAATGATGACCCATCTCTTCTTGCTCTAATTACCGGAGGCATTAAGTCTGTTGCATTAGCTGAACCATGTACTTGGGTCAAGACAGACCACTAAACCAAATGATCCCAACAGATTTAATAATCTCTGACAGTTCTCTTGCCTTCTTAAACTGTTGTCCCATTTCTCCCCATTAGTGGATTAAGTGACTGTGCAAAATGAGTAATTGTAGCTTGAATCCCCTATAACATCCATGCTGTGACAGTCGTTAGTACTGTTCAGCCTCCATTCAGAGGATAGCAGCATAACATAATCAGGCTTTTTGGGGGCAAAAGTTCTGGGAATTTATTTGGGTTTTTTCCACTTTGTCTTTAAACAAGTTGATATGAGCAAAGGGGATACTTCAATGACAAAAGCATGGGATGGACTAGAGGGAAAAGAAAGTCCTGCTAATTCACTGTGACAGCACCAGAATCACATATGGGTGCCAAATTGAAATGCTTCTCCACTCATTCCCTCCCATTACCAATCAATACTTGTCAGGCTCAAAAATGCTCCGAATGCTTCTGCTGCTTGTTCTCATTGCCACACATTCTCACATTAGCCTTGGACCTGCACTTCATATCATGCAAGTTAAAGGTTTACATCCTTTCCAAACTAAGCACAGGATTGGATCAGGTCCAGTCATTTATAAAACCTGATATCTTTTTTCCATTTGTGGTCATACCAGACACGTCAGAAAAACACAGTAGAAATGAGTTCTCTTAATCTGGGAAGAGATTTGAAACCCCAAATTATTTACAACCTGAATGTTTTCAGGCTGCAGTGTAGTATTTCCAAAGAGAGTGATCACCAACTGAGCATATGGGAAATTCTGAAAAATGCTGAGATTCTAATGCTGCTACCCACTACTGATCAGCCTCAACTAGGAAATTCATCAGAATCCAGTCCATTTTGCAACTGCTATTAAGCATCAAGCCACTGGGCAGCAAATACAAATCACATAGCAGTGCTTCTAATATTGCCAACATCGCTGGGACACAGTGTAGTGATGTGTTCAGGGTCTGGAAATTTCCAAGTTTAAAATGGTTAGTTCAGAAGACGGCAGGAGAGGCAGGAAGCTGGGAGTCTGGCTGCATCAGC